GAAACTAGAATATGACAAGATGAACTCCACCGTTTCATTTCAAAAGATTGAAATTAACCCTCCAAGAGATACAGAGTTTTTATTTTGGGAGGTAGACAAACGTTCTTGGGCACAATTTCTTCGGTTACTAAACCAGAACGAACCATTACCACCAGATGGTCCATTTCAATTTATACTTCCACCAGCAGATTTGATGGTTTATAGAAACGTGTTTGACCCTCAAAATGTTATGTGTCATGCAAGTTTCAGTTCAAGCAACAATAGTTTTCTATGTATTGGTAAGGACCTTTATGACTTTGCTTCTAAATTCTACGAACCACCTAGTAACAGTTTCTCTGACTTTCAAGTTTGGTTCACAACAAATGGTGTGCAACATATTATTCCATTGTACTATGACTTTTATCTCGAATTGTCTTTCATATATAACTACGGAAAAGTGCTGAAAAAGTATTGAAAAATAATGTTTAGGTGAAGAGGTGAGATCTCACCTGTTTTTTCACCTTTTTTCTCACCCTCTTGAATTTGTCATGAATTTTATACAGAAAACATAGCACAAAAATAATGTTTAGGGTAGAAGGTGAGATCTCACCTGTTTTCTCACCTCTTTTCTCACCCGTTGAATTTTGTATTATTCTTCACAAAATGCTTGTTTTGAGGTCGAGCCACTTTTGGCTCCACCGTATTCTTTCAACCAAAACTCATGAATTCAGCAAAAATATAATTTAGGGTAGAAGGTTAGATCTAACCTCTTTTCTACCCTCATTTCTACCCTCTTGAATTTTCATGAATTTTCCCGAAATAAAAAATAAAGTTAGTTTTTTTAAAAAAAATATTTTTTATTTTTATTGTAAGAACATGTTAGCAACTACAGCACCTAACTCGTTAGTTATGAATCCTACGTCAATGTTAGTAGAGATGAAAAGCTTCATTCCTTCTTCATATACTTTTGAAACAGAAATCCAGAAGATAAAGCAAGAACTTTTAACATCTAATTTAGACTGTACCGCACAGGATGAAGAAAATGAACAGTATCTTTATGAAATGCAGGACATTATTGACCATTTACCCAAACTACCTGAAATTCAGCAGCAAAAACTAACTATTCCCGAATTTGACGAAATTGAAGTCAAAGCAACTGACTCAGTAGAAATAAAGAAGTTCATTCGTAAGGTAAACTATGAATTCCTTGGTTTTCATTGCAACCATAAAGTTATGGACAAAGATTGCGACATGGTATATAAGAATGTTTCTGACTTTACAAAACCCGGGAGTTTAAGACCTACGACAACTTTGTTACATTAGTTGCAAAATGTGTATGGCAGATAAGAGATAAAGATAAAAGATGTAAAATATGGAATGAACAAATAAGACCCGCTATGTTTGAGATGAAGAGAGCAATTGACGCTTTAGTTGTTTTAGCAGGTAAGGTTTCAGAATATAACGCAAAAATGAACCCGCAATGTTCAAAATGTAAAGCAGCAATGAGGAGATATAACTACTCCGTCAAAGAGATAGAAAGAATGAGAAACGACTATGCAGATTTAAAGAAAGAAGCAGAAAAGCCAGCAGAAGATAAAATGAACATGTTAGAATTTCTGAACAAAAACTATCCAACAGCAGAAGATTTCCTTCTATCTGACGTCAAGAAGAAATATAAAGAAACCTTCGGTATTGTTAAAACTTTTGACATACTGACAGAAGAAATAGAAGCTACGAAATTGTTTAGAATTTCAAATATACATCGTACAATTCATGTAAAACGCTTGTGAAAAAACAGGTGAAAAAACAGGTGAGAAAACGGGTGAGATCTCACCTCTTCACCTAAACATTATTTTTGCTGAATTCAGCACAAAATTCTGAGTAAAATAATTTTTAGGGCTTGTGTCAAACCGTTGAGTTTTCACAAAATTCCAAAAATAACGTTTACCATGTAAAACGCTTATAAAATAACTGGGGTAGAAAACAGGTTAGAAAACAGGTTAGATCTAACCTTCTACCCTAAACATTATTTTTGGGTCATTTACACTCATTACGAAGAAGTCTTGACAAAACATTTACGAAGAAGTCTTGACAAATTCAAGAGGGTAGAAAAGAGGTGAGAAAACGGGTGAGATCTCACCTCTTCACCTAAAATATATTTTTATTGAATTCAGCAACAAAAATCTGAGTAAAATGGCATAAGATTGCTTCCCTCGAAAAACCGAGGATAGAGATTCCGTATGAAAATCATGAAATTTCTCTAGACCGGATTTTACCGGCCTTGCCTAAAACACACGAAAATCGTGAAGAACAGCGAGACCGTTTTTTTTTTTCTGGGTCGCCTAAAACTCTATGAAAATCATGAAATTTCTCTAGACCGGATTTTACCGGCCTTGCCTAAAACACATGAAAATCGTGAAGAACAGCGAGTAGGTAAGAAACCCCAGTCGCCTAAAACTCTATGAAAATCATGAAGCACAGCGAGACCGTTTTTTTTTTTCTGGGTCGCCAAAACTCTATGAAAATCATGAATTTCCTTAAGATAGAAAAAATAAAGTTAGTTTTTTATAAAATATTTTTTATCTTGTATGTAAGAACAGAAATGACAAACAATGAGTTTGAAACAGTTAGAAAGATAGACAATGACACCAAAGTGGTTAGAATAGGTGATTTAAACGTAAGATACTCAAAGAAATACAACAAATATTCTTTGTCAGACATTTTATCTCCATCTGGAAAGAAAACATCCCACGACTGGGTTAGAACTGCTTCTACTCAGAAAATTTTGACAAGAAATCCTGAGCTTATGATATCGGTAAGATTCTATGGAACTACAGCATATCTTATAGACAAAAGTCTTATACCAATAGTTTTGTTATGGTTAGACCCAGTTGTTGGATATAACTTCATAACATATGGTTTATTCGACTCAGAACGTTGCAGTGAAGGCTTACTTTACATCGTTCAGAAACCGAAGGACTTCAATACAAAGAGATATAAGATAGGAAGAACATATAATATAACTCAAAGATATGACAGTACAGTCAATAGAGTTAAGGTTGTGTTCGTTAACGATATGAGAGCTGCTGAAACAGAACTACTTGAAAAGTTTGAGAAAATGTATGGTGCTCCCACGAAAGGTAAAGAAACGTTTGAAGTGGATGAGATAGATAAAGCTATAAAATTATTTGACGAAGTTGCTGAAAAATACATGTAAAGCGTTTATTTTTGGTCTTTTGTGAAAGACAGAAAAAATAACGCTAGTTTTTTATAAAATATTTTTTTTTATTTTGTATGTAAAGACAGATATGTCAACATCAGAGAACACAACAACAGTTATAGTCCATGAAGCTATAAATGAAGAATATGAGTGGGTTCAGTTTAACAAACAACTCCGTCTCATTCGTTCGGTCAAAGACGATATGTACCAAATGCAAAGTATTTTGACAGCATGTTTTGCTCCAGATACCAAACATACAGACGATTGGTTCAAAAACCAAAGCACACAAGAACTTTTGAGCGAAGCACAGCGAGACCGACTTTTTTCGGGGTCGCCTAAAACTCATGAAAATCGTAAAAATTTGCCAAATGGTTTGAGAGGTTGGTATGTACATAGACTTCTTGTAAATGCTGTTGCAATGTGGGCTTCGCCTCGTTATGCTTGGTATATTTACAGACTTCTTGACGAAATTCATAGACAAGAACGTGAAGAGATGGAAAAGAAACTTCATGCAAAAGATGAAGTCATTGAAGCAAAAGACAAAAGCATTCAGAAAAGAATACCACGTTCGGTACCAAAAGGAAAGGAAAAGAACTATAAGTATATGATTTATACTGAAGAGATGGAAAATGAAGAAGACAGAGATATGGTTATGTTGCATTTAGTCAGAAGAAACAACAAAAGCTTTTACGACCTTGCTAAGATTTACAAATCTGACAGAAATTGGTTCTATCGCGAAAACTTACCGATTTCAATGACACCGAATGAAGATGTGAAACAAATAGTTCAAGATACGTTACCTCAAACACACTATGATATTAAAGGTTGTACAATTCTTACCTTCAAAGAAGACTTACCGCTACTGAAGGAAAAAATAACAGAGTATTTTGACAACTTCAAACAAGTAGAGTAAATTGCACTCTTTATTTTTACGCTTGACTTCAGATGGCTCAGGTAGCTCTATAAGGTAAATTGTCTTGTCAAATCCTTCTGGCATTCCGAGTCCTTCCTTCCGACAGAAAAATATTTTCCCGACAACTGGAAAAAAATTTCATTCCGACAGAAAAAAATTTCCATCCGACAAGAAAAAATTTTCCATCCGACAAGAAAAAATTTTCCAGTTGTCCGTCCGTAAACCATTCAAATTTTCGAAAATTGAGAACTTTTTGGTCGAACTTCAGAAAAAAATTTTCCATCCGACAGGAAAAATTTTTCCATCCGACAGTAAAAAAATTTTCCTGTTGGAAGGAAAATTTTTTTCTGAAGTTCGACCAAAAAGTTCTCAATTTTCGAAAATTTGAATGGTTTACGGACGGACAACTGGAAAATTTTTTCTTGTCGGATGGAAAATTTTTTCTTGTCGGATGGAAATTTTTTTCTGTCGGAATGAAATTTTTTTCCAGTTGTCGGGAAAATATTTTTCTGTCGGAAGGAAGGACTCGGAATGCCAGAAGGATTTGACAAGACAATTTACCTTATAGAGCTACCTGAGCCATCTGAAGTCAAGCGTAAAAATAAAGAGTGCAATTTACTCTACTTGTTTGAAGTTGTCAAAATACTCTGTTATTTTTTCCTTCAGTAGCGGTAAGTCTTCTTTGAAGGTAAGAATTGTACAACCTTTAATATCATAGTGTGTTTGAGGTAACGTATCTTGAACTATTTGTTTCACATCTTCATTCGGTGTCATTGAAATCGGTAAGTTTTCGCGATAGAACCAATTTCTGTCAGATTTGTAAATCTTAGCAAGGTCGTAAAAGCTTTTGTTGTTTCTTCTGACTAAATGCAACATAACCATATCTCTGTCTTCTTCATTTTCCATCTCTTCAGTATAAATCATATACTTATAGTTCTTTTCCTTTCCTTTTGGTACCGAACGTGGTATTCTTTTCTGAATGCTTTTGTCTTTTGCTTCAATGACTTCATCTTTTGCATGAAGTTTCTTTTCCATCTCTTCACGTTCTTGTCTATGAATTTCGTCAAGAAGTCTGTAAATATACCAAGCATAACGAGGCGAAGCCCACATTGCAACAGCATTTACAAGAAGTCTATGTACATACCAACCTCTCAAACCATTTGGCAAATTTTTACGATTTTCATGAGTTTTAGGCGACCCCGAAAAAAGTCGGTCTCGCTGTGCTTCGCTCAAAAGTTCTTGTGTGCTTTGGTTTTTGAACCAATCGTCTGTATGTTTGGTATCTGGAGCAAAACATGCTGTCAAAATACTTTGCATTTGGTACATATCGTCTTTGACCGAACGAATGAGACGGAGTTGTTTGTTAAACTGAACCCACTCATATTCTTCATTTATAGCTTCATGGACTATAACTGTTGTTGTGTTCTCTGATGTTGACATATCTGTCTTTACATACAAAATAAAAAAAATATTTTATAAAAAACTAGCGTTATTTTTTCTGTCTTTCACAAAAGACCAAAAATAAACGCTTTACATGTATTTTTCAGCAACTTCGTCAAATAATTTTATAGCTTTATCTATCTCATCCACTTCAAACGTTTCTTTACCTTTCGTGGGAGCACCATACATTTTCTCAAACTTTTCAAGTAGTTCTGTTTCAGCAGCTCTCATATCGTTAACGAACACAACCTTAACTCTATTGACTGTACTGTCATATCTTTGAGTTATATTATATGTTCTTCCTATCTTATATCTCTTTGTATTGAAGTCCTTCGGTTTCTGAACGATGTAAAGTAAGCCTTCACTGCAACGTTCTGAGTCGAATAAACCATATGTTATGAAGTTATATCCAACAACTGGGTCTAACCATAACAAAACTATTGGTATAAGACTTTTGTCTATAAGATATGCTGTAGTTCCATAGAATCTTACCGATATCATAAGCTCAGGATTTCTTGTCAAAATTTTCTGAGTAGAAGCAGTTCTAACCCAGTCGTGGGATGTTTTCTTTCCAGATGGAGATAAAATGTCTGACAAAGAATATTTGTTGTATTTCTTTGAGTATCTTACGTTTAAATCACCTATTCTAACCACTTTGGTGTCATTGTCTATCTTTCTAACTGTTTCAAACTCAGTGTTTGTCATTTCTGTTCTTACATACAAGATAAAAAAATATTTTATAAAAAACTAACTTTATTTTTTCTATCTTAAGGAAATTCATGATTTTCATAGAGTTTTGGCGACCCAGAAAAAAAAAACGGTCTCGCTGTGCTTCATGATTTTCATAGAGTTTTAGGCGACTGGGGTTTCTTACCTACTCGCTGTTCTTCACGATTTTCATGTGTTTTAGGCAAGGCCGGTAAAATCCGGTCTAGAGAAATTTCATGATTTTCATAGAGTTTTAGGCGACCCAGAAAAAAAAAAAACGGTCTCGCTGTTCTTCACGATTTTCGTGTGTTTTAGGCAAGGCCGGTAAAATCCGGTCTAGAGAAATTTCATGATTTTCATACGGAATCTCTATCCTCGGTTTTTCGAGGGAAGCAATCTTATGCCATTTTACTCAGATTTTTGTTGCTGAATTCAATAAAAATATATTTTAGGTGAAGAGGTGAGATCTCACCCGTTTTCTCACCTCTTTTCTACCCTCTTGAATTTGTCAAGACTTCTTCGTAAATGTTTTGTCAAGACTTCTTCGTAATGAGTGTAAATGACCCAAAAATAATGTTTAGGGTAGAAGGTTAGATCTAACCTGTTTTCTAACCTGTTTTCTACCCCAGTTATTTTATAAGCGTTTTACATGGTAAACGTTATTTTTGGAATTTTGTGAAAACTCAACGGTTTGACACAAGCCCTAAAAATTATTTTACTCAGAATTTTGTGCTGAATTCAGCAAAAATAATGTTTAGGTGAAGAGGTGAGATCTCACCCGTTTTCTCACCTGTTTTTTCACCTGTTTTTTCACAAGCGTTTTACATGAATTGTACGATGTATATTTGAAATTCTAAACAATTTCGTAGCTTCTATTTCTTCTTCAGTATGTCAAAAGTTTTAACAATACCGAAGGTTTCTTTATATTTCTTCTTGACGTCAGATAGAAGGAAATCTTCTGCTGTTGGATAGTTTTTGTTCAGAAATTCTAACATGTTCATTTTATCTTCTGCTGGCTTTTCTGCTTCTTTCTTTAAATCTGCATAGTCGTTTCTCATTCTTTCTATCTCTTTGACGGAGTAGTTATATCTCCTCATTGCTGCTTTACATTTTGAACATTGCGGGTTCATTTTTGCGTTATATTCTGAAACCTTACCTGCTAAAACAACTAAAGCGTCAATTGCTCTCTTCATCTCAAACATAGCGGGTCTTATTTGTTCATTCCATATTTTACATCTTTTATCTTTATCTCTTATCTGCCATACACATTTTGCAACTAATGTAACAAAGTTGTCGTAGGTCTTAAACTCCCGGGTTTTGTAAAGGTCAGAAACATTCTTATATACCATGTCGCAATCTTTGTCCATAACTTTATGGTTGCAATGAAAACCAAGGAATTCATAGTTTACCTTACGAATGAACTTCTTTATTTCTACTGAGTCAGTTGCTTTGACTTCAATTTCGTCAAATTCGGGAATAGTTAGTTTTTGCTGCTGAATTTCAGGTAGTTTGGGTAAATGGTCAATAATGTCCTGCATTTCATAAAGATACTGTTCATTTTCTTCATCCTGTGCGGTACAGTCTAAATTAGATGTTAAAAGTTCTTGCTTTATCTTCTGGATTTCTGTTTCAAAAGTATATGAAGAAGGAATGAAGCTTTTCATCTCTACTAACATTGACGTAGGATTCATAACTAACGAGTTAGGTGCTGTAGTTGCTAACATGTTCTTACAATAAAAATAAAAAATATTTTTTTTAAAAAAACTAACTTTATTTTTTATTTCGGGAAAATTCATGAAAATTCAAGAGGGTAGAAATGAGGGTAGAAAAGAGGTTAGATCTAACCTTCTACCCTAAATTATATTTTTGCTGAATTCATGAGTTTTGGTTGAAAGAATACGGTGGAGCCAAAAGTGGCTCGACCTCAAAACAAGCATTTTGTGAAGAATAATACAAAATTCAACGGGTGAGAAAAGAGGTGAGAAAACAGGTGAGATCTCACCTTCTACCCTAAACATTATTTTTGTGCTATGTTTTCTGTATAAAAATTCATGACAAATTCAAGAGGGTGAGAAAAAAGGTGAAAAAACAGGTGAGATCTCACCTCTTCACCTAAACATTATTTTTCAATACTTTTTCAGCACTTTTCCGTAGTTATATATGAAAGACAATTCGAGATAAAAGTCATAGTACAATGGAATAATTGTTGCACACCATTTGTTGTGAACCAAACTTGAAAGTCAGAGAAACTGTTACTAGGTGTTCGTAGAATTTAGAAGCAAAGTCATAAAAGTCCTTACCAATACATAGAAAACTATTGTTGCTTGAACTGAAAACTTGCATGACACATAACATTTGAGGGTCAAACACGTTTCTATAAACCATCAAATCTGCTGGTGGAAGTATAAATTGAAATGGACCATCTGGTGGTAATGGTTCGTTCTGGTTTAGTAACCGAAGAAATTGTGCCAAGAACGTTTGTCTACCTCCCAAAATAAAAACTCTGTATCTCTTGGAGGGTTAATTTCAATCTTTTGAAATGAAACGGTGGAGTTCATCTTGTCATATTCTAGTTTCAGATAGTATGTTCCATTTAGTAAAGAGTCGTATTTTTCTTGAAATTCCCAATAATATTTGTTCATTTGAGTTTGAAGTCATTTAGAGTTTTCTCAAGACTTTCGTCTGAACGAACTGTAAAGATTCTCATTTCGTCAAATTTGTCTATTAGACCACCAGAACCTTTATACTGCCCATGAAAATATACTGCGAACATAAATGCGTTAGTTCTATTGAAAAACAAAACTCTTCTAAATCCTATTGCCTTTGCATCTGAAGGACTTTGAAGCCAACGAATTGGATAGTCAAACCTGTATGTTCGGGATGAAATTTCTTCATCTGATATTGTCCTACCAGCATTTGTAAGATATAGTCTAACGGTTTTTGTATCTGCTACTTTTTGTTCTTTGTTTTTCAACCTGAAGCATTTAATATATGTAAAAATATATTGTTTTAAAATGGTATGCCATTATAGCTTCTTGAATTTTTAAGAAGTATTTGAACGTTTCCATCTGTATCCTAGTGTTTACATAAGCATAGCCCGCCTTAGTAAAATATACTTGTAATTTCCTATAGTTTACGCCGGTATAAAAGTAGAAAGAGTCTTGTTCTTCGCTATAGTAGTAAAACTCAAACGTATGCTTGCCATAGTCTGTAATTTCAATTGTTTCATCTTCTAGTTCGTCGACAAATTCGAATACAATATCTCTAAATTTGCCTATGTTCTTATTGTTTTCAGAACGAGTGACCCAACGTAAGTTTTCAAGTCTATTGTCGTTTCTTATACGGTTTATATGGTCTACAAAAGGTAAATTGTTAGGATTCAGTATAAAAATGAGTTGCAATGACAACATGTTTAAGATAGCGTTTTCCACTCATCTTCATAATAGCATATCCGTCATTTCGCTCCCATTCGCTTAAAACTCTTTTTGTCTTTTTGTTTCTGACTTCAAATGACTCACAACAGTGAATTTCATATTTCTCATCTAACAAACAAGTTTCCCAACGGTCTTCTCCAACAAACTCAGCGTACATTTCAAATAAAATAAAAATGTCACTTTTTAAAAAATAAATTTTTACTTCATGCAATGTTCACTAACATCGAAAGGCATGTCCATAAGGACGTTCTTCTTCTAACCTCTCTAGTCTGTTTGGATAATTTGCACGTGCTGTTTCCAAATCCATTTCGTAGCGAAGACCAGCCAGTTTGTCATAGACTTTTATGGGTCTTCCCTTCCTATATTTAAAATTCTTCGAAACTCTCCAACCATATCTTTGCAACTCTGCTTTTATTCTAGCAGATTTTTCTATCCATTCTATATGGGGCATTTTTATAAAAATAAAAAAATATTTTTTTCTTTACTTTACATAACCACCTGCTGCCATAAGTCTTTGACGCCAACCCATACCAGCTAATGAAGGTTGACTTGGTTTAGTTTGGAAACTAAACTTTGGTTTTGGTTTATCTTCAGTTTTTGGTTTTTCTTCTTCTATCGGTTTTTCGTCACTTTTCGGTTCCTCTGACTTTACCTCACCTGCAGGAACAGTTGTGTCGTCAACATCTTCATAAATATCATATGCCATTTGTTTTTGTTTTCCTTTCAACTTTTTGTGTTTGTTGTAAAGTTTAGAATATTTCGACTCTAAGTCAATGAGATGTTCTATAATGAACTGTTGGTCAGTGAAGTAAACTTTTCCATCTGTTGTCTCTGCGGCTCCTTCAGACTTCAATATTTTATTTGTGAGAGTCTGTTTCTTTTTTGAGATACTTGCCGTTCCATTTCTATGAAAAGTGACTTTATAGTTAGGGTTTGTATTTCCAGACCTGGCACTTTCTATTATTGAATTTTTCTCTTCATCTGTAAGTTCTTTGACAGGTTTTGACAATGGTTCTGAACTTTTTGTTTGTGGTGTCAAATCTACCGTTTCAACTTCTTCGGTCATTCATCTCAGTAAAAAATTTTAGTTTGGTTTGTTTTCAACTGGTTGTTGTTGTTTTTTAAGTCGGTCTAAAAACTTCCTGAGGTATAGGAAGAACTTGACAAACACGTTGTGTAACTGCTGGAAGTCGACAAATCCATCTTGAACCCATTTGTCTCAATGCTGTATTGTTCATTTCATCTCAGTAAAAAACTTTACATTCCCCAAGTTTGAGGTGGTTGCGGTTGGTTATTGTTTACCCACTGTTGTGCATGGTTATATCCTCTGTTAAAGAATCTTTCACCTTGGTCCATATAGTGTCCTGCTTGGTTATAGTAGTCATTTGCTTTGTTATAATAGTTTCCTGCTTGTCTTCCTACATTGTCCATCCATCCTTGAACTTTTCCTCTTGTTTCAGGATTTGGAATAAGATTTGCTGCATCTCGTGCTACATCCCAACCTTTCTGTACAGTTTGTATAATAGGTTGTGCTTTCTCTTTAAGTATACCTAATGTACTCAAAATCTTCCTTCCAACTCCAAATACACCTCTGGCTATTGTTCCCACTGCGGGCAAAAATCTGGATGCAACTCCTGCTAATGCGCCAAATAAACCCATTTCTTATGGGTTAAAAATGACGAATCCAAACAAGGACCCCTATGTTTCTAAGGCAACAAAGAAAGCACTCATGATAAAAATCTTTAGTTCAACACCAAATGCTTGGTTTATGGATATCTTGGAAAACATTCCGAGGTATAGAGAAGATGGACCTCCATACTGGCTAATATTTGTCGGTCAAAACACAAGATACTGTGAAGCCATACCATTATGGTCCAAAAATATTTTAGATGTGAAAACTGCTTTGACAATATTCGTTGACAAATACCATCCAACAAAACTGACATCTGACTGTGAAAGTTCTTTCAAATCAGATGATATTAAAAACTATCTGCGTTCAAAAAATGTAAACCAATATTTCATTGTCGACCAAAACCATTCTGCTCTTGGTGTCATTGACGGTTGTATAAAAATGTTAAGAGACTTAAACCAACCACAAGGTGGTGAAGCAAATGAAATGTCATATGACGACAAATATAGACACTTCTCCATGGCAAAGATGAGACAAGTTTTAAATATTTACAATAGCCGTAAACAAAAAGGTTTGGGAAACCACTCCCCCGAAGAAATGAAAAACAACCCTGACTTAGAGAAAGACTATATATTTAATAATTTAGTCAAAAGAGACAAACAAGAAAGAATGCCGGGCTTCAAACTTAAGAAAGGCGACAAAGTAAAAATAGAAATACCTAAACGCGACCCATATGAAAATACTATTGACTATGACAACAATGGGAACCCGACAGGTACTCACATTCGTGTTCGTAAAAATAGAAGAAAGTATACAAGAGAATATTATGAAGTTTTAGGCAAACATGGCAAAATGTACACACTGCAAGCAGAAGATAAAACTACTATTGTCAGACCTCGTTTCAAACTTGTCAAAGTTCAAGGTGGTATACTTTCAAAGACAGTTCCTAACAAATATAAGACAACTCCTGACGAATATGCTAAAGAAGTTGAAAATGACGACTAAGCATTTCTATACCATGCGTAAACTGTCATGTAAGGTGGCATGTAGTCTTTACTTTGTCCCGTTGTTTGCGTATATCCCCCGAAACGCGATGTGTATGGTTTCCATCTCCCTGAGTGTTACCCCAGAAACAATTTATAGCAAACTGAACGTTGTCTTTAACATCATATCCTTTACCTTTTTTCATTGCTGACCAATCCCAAAATTTATGCTTATGCCAACCTGCTTGAGATGTACTTAAATCTATGTAGTGACTATGTGCAGGTAAATTTTCACCTGAAATCGTTTTACTTCCACCTGTTTCCTTTGAAGAGTTTGCACAATACAAAAACCTGTCGACTATTTGAGTCCAAGTTCCAAAACCCAGAACTGTTTCTGGATTTGTTGAGTTCATTGACGTATAAATAGAGCCTATAGGATATAATGTTTGAAGCATTTCTGTCTTTAATGTTTGAAGCTCTGTTTTGTCTGCTTTCTTGTCATATAAATCTTGAGCAGTGAATTTAATATTATGTTCATCCTTCATGACATAAACATCTTTACATCTAATGTTTTTCATTGTCGTTATGTCGTCATCCGATGTTAAACCTTGTGGAAA